GCTTCCGGGGGGAAAAAGCGGCGGCGCAGCCCCGACAGCATCTCCAGGGCACGGCAGGACCGAGCGAGAGCGGGAGCGGAGCGGAGCGAGCGGGCGGCGCGGCGTTGGCGCCTGGGGGTCCTCGCGGCTGCGCCGCGCGCCGCGGCGCCGAGAGGGGGCTGCCCGCGCCGGTGCCTGCCGCCGCCCACGAACCTCCGCCCGCGCCCGGCGCCGCCGAGCGCCCCACCCTGTCCGCACAGGGGGATGCGGCGCGGCGAGACGGTGCTGCGGGTGCGGGGCGGGGGTCCGGGTCGCGGCGGAGGTCAGGCAACAGGATAGACGCCACTCTGAGGCAAGGAAGCCTCTCGCCGCCATCTTGAGTGTGGTCTCGGCTAAGCTGCTGTCCTGGCGGGGCCATCTTGAGTGTGGCCTTGGCGGACCTCCGGGCTGGGGCCGCCGTCTTGAGTGTGGTCTCGGCTAAGTTCCGGTCCTGGTGACGCCATCTTTACTGTGGGCTCGGCGGACTTCCGGGCCGGGCCCGCCATCTTTGTGTACGGCCTTGGAGGACTTCCGGTACTGGCGGCGCCATCTTCCTTTCGGGGTGCCCTCGCAGCGCTTCCGGTCCGGGAGGGCGCCATCTTTGGTGGTGAGCCGTCGAAAACAGTCCGGTCGCTCTCTACTTCCGGTGACCGAGTTTACCCAAATTAGCGTCTCTCGCTAATTTCTGCGCTTTCACCCCTAAAAGTCTTCATGTTAGTCCCCCCCACACACACCCCGGGAGAGATGGGAGACCGCAAGTCCCGCCGTGCCGCCGGAACCGGCCCTTACCTTGGGCAGGGAGCGCGGCACCGGCACGAGAGCCATTGCGCATGCGTCACCGGTCCCGCTCCTGGCCGCCCTTAGTTACCACGTGATCGCCGGTGTCTTGCCAACGACTGCGCATACGACGGCGCCGCCACCTTGGCTTCCCCCCCAACTCGACCAGCCGGCTTCGCTTTCTTACTGCGGCTCCCCCTCCACTTTTTCGGCTCCCTGGGGTTCCCCCCCGCCACATTTTGGGGTCCCTTTCTCACATTTTAGGGGTGATGACCCCGCCATTTACGGTTCGGAGGGGGGGGGTGGAGGAGAGGAAACGGGGTGCCCAAGAAGGGGTTTCTTTTTTTTTTTTTTTTCTCTTTTATTTCATTTTCAGTTTATTTCCTTTTTAGCTTTTTTGCTTTTAAATTTTTTTTATTTTCTTTTGTATTTTATATTTCCTTTTTTATTTCGTTTATTTTTTATTCTCTTTATTTTTCATTTTCTCTCCCAGTGCTCCCCAGTAACACCCAGTGCTCTCCAGTGCTCCCCAACAACCTCCAGCGCTCCCCAACAACCCCCAGTAACACCCAGTGCTCCCCAAAAATTGACCCAAAACTGACCCCAAAAGCTGACCCAAATCATCCCAAAAGCTGACCCAAAACTGACCCAAATCACCCCAAAAAACTGACCCCAAAAACTGACCCAAATCATCCCAAAAAACAACCCAAAACTCTGCATTTATTTGGCCTCATTTCCTCTCAAAAACAACATCTCCAATTTAGTTGATTGCTAAAGCCATCATTTTAAAATCATCCCAGGAATCAAAAGGGACTGGAAAACACACAGAAATCATTCCTATACCCCCCAAATCATTAGGAATTGGAACCCGATTCCCTCATCTCCCTCCTTGTTTTTCTTGGCTGGAAAACCTGATGATCCCCGCTGGCTATTTTTAGGCTGCTTTTCTTCCACAGCTCCTTTCTCCCGGCTGAAACCTCCCCGCATATTCAGGGCTTACCTGGAGGGAAGCCCCTCTGAAGTATTTCCTCTCATGGCAATTCTGTGGGATGAAGAAGTAAAAAAAGCCCGTCAGGAGCTCCTTCTCCCCCCCCCTTCCCTCACAAACACCCTCCCGGTTTGTCCTCGGCAGCTCCATCCCCCCCGGCACCCGCACCCGAGGCTTCGGCTCCGCTGGGAAAGGGACAGCAAGTGCAGGAGCAAGCTCAGTGCTGGGCAGGGGCTCCCTGGGGAACGGCACTTCCGTGCTTTAGTCCGTGGCCTTTCCTGCTGCCCTCCCTCCTGGAGGCAGAGGATGACCCCTCCCTTGTTTCTCCCACGCTCGCAGACCCAGGTCCTGCTCTTTTGGCCCCACTTTTCTTAGCAGACCCGGCATCATTTTCCAGGGTCCCCAGGAAACTTCTGCACTTGACCCATTGCTAAGTGCAGAGCACAGGGCAAGGGAAGGACAAATTTCTCAGCACCCACCACCTGGAACTTCCCTTCTCCACAGCACGCTCCCGTTCCCGCTGTCTCTGGAGGTGCCCGCACGAGTCCTCCTCGTCCCAGCACCTAAAGAGAATGTAATTTTCACCCAGGTCCTGCTTCCCGTCGTCCAACAAAACACGCTGATAACATTTTTCATGATGCCAGTGGAGAGATATTAGAGCACACTGCACAGGGAAGCCGAGGCTGCCCCATCCCTGGAAGTGTTCCAGGCCAGGCTGGACGGGACTTGGAGCAAGCGGGGACCGTGGAAGGTGTCCCTGCCCACGGAAGACGGGCCGGCCTTTGAAGGTCCCCTTCAAACCAAATCGCTCTGGGATTCCCCTCCAAAATCCCTACCAAAGAGACACAGCAATCAAAGCAGAGGGACTGCACTCCCAGCTTTTCTTACCTGCAGGCACACGGCACGCTGGACATAAAAGCCACAGGGTTAGTCCTGCCAGAGGCGTCCGGCACATCCACGGCGACCGAAGGGAAAGAGGGAGCCTGGGAACACGGAGTAAAAGACACCTTAATTAGGACTGCACTGACCAATAGCCAGGTCATTCACACAGACAGCTTCGCCGTCCAGTCACACGAAAAGCACTTACCCACCAGGGCCTCAGTTAGGATGGCTCCTGACGCTGACCAGGTGAACACCTCCGTTTGCCCCGGGGGGTCAAGAATAACATCCCTGGTAAGAAGTCACCCCGAAGGACAAAAAGGGAAAATTAGTGAAGCACGGGGTCCTCTTCTGACTAGACTGCCACCAGCATTCAATAGCAAATGCCACGACTATTCTGTTACAGACGAGAAAACCCTGTTCTCCCAAACAAACAGGGACGAGATTTATGGGCACGCCTGAAAATTTCCTGGGAGGAACTTTCGGTAACTAAGGAGCAGGTGCTGTCTTGAGTTGAAGGCATCAGTTTGACAGACGCTTAGTACAGCAAACTCTTCAGCAGAGCAATTAACTGCTGCCTATTTGAACAGCAGGGGAGAGAAAACGACAGTCTAAGGGAAGACAAGAAAAGCAGAACTGGAATCAGTAGACTTTTCTTCCGTCTCTCCCGAGAAAGTCGTGTTTGTCTGTTCTAATAATTCTGTGCCCTTTTCTACATGAAACTTAGACCAAGGCTGAAAAAACAACCAGAAAACACGGAGAGAAGCTTTTTAGAATGTCATGTGATTTTCCCAAACCGATCCCAGAAAAGCAGAACTCGGTAGAACGTACTCACCTCGAGGCCTTTGGTCTTTTTTTCCATAAGCTTCGTCACCTGATTGAAAAAGCAGAGTAGACCTGGTATTTAGGCTCACAACAGGAAAACTTCCCCTTCATTTCCTAAAAGAAACTACATTAATCTGCACAGCTGCAGGCGCGTATCCAGATGCTAAAGTCCTTCAGCTTTTCAGAGGGTGAGAATGCCCACCTAAGGAATGCTGAAAAATGCTCGGAGCCTGCACAGGTCAAAGACCACCTTGATTTCGTCTGTGTTCCAGTCCCTGGCTAAAGAAACGGTAGAACAACCGCAGCTGTTCCTTGCCTTTTCCCTAAGAGGTTTTGCCAGGCGCTGGGCCAGCCCGGGCACTCCGGGGGAAGGCCGGCAGGGCCAAAACACTGCCGCTTTCCCACGGGTGTCGCTTGCAAGGGCGCCCCCGAGCGCCGGGCCCTGCCTCACAGTCGCCGCCTGGCGGACACGGCCGGGAGCGGCACTGCAGCCGCGCGCGCCATTGCAGCCGCGCGCCCCCCCCCCGCCCTTGGCGAGACCCGCGGCGCCTTTCGCGAGTACGGGCCTTTCTTCCCTAAAACCTGCCCTTCCCTAGGGAAAGCTGAGCAATTCACAGAGTTGCTGTTTCCACCCCAGCTTCCCAAAGGATTTCTCTCTCTCGGCAGCACAGAGAGGGTCCCCGAGGCAGCGCAGACCCTCCCCGCGGGGAGGGCGGGGGGTGTGTGCAATGCCAGGGCACATCCGAACCCGGCCCTGCGGCGGCACGCAGGTGCAAGTTTCTCCACAGAGGCGAGAAACTTGCCTGTCGCTTCCCCTGCCTGCAGCCCGACGGCCGCGGGAGAGGCAGAAGAGCGGCCGCGCCCCCGCCGCGCCCCCGCCGCTTACCCCGGGGACGATCTCCGCCGGATCTGCCGCCGCGGGTGGCTTCCGGGGGGAAAAAGCGGCGGCGCAGCCCCGACAGCATCTCCAGGGCACGGCAGGACCGAGCGAGAGCGGGAGCGGAGCGGAGCGAGCGGGCGGCGCGGCGTTGGCGCCTGGGGGTCCTCGCGGCTGCGCCGCGCGCCGCGGCGCCGAGAGGGGGCTGCCCGCGCCGGTGCCTGCCGCCGCCCACGAACCTCCGCCCGCGCCCGGCGCCGCCGAGCGCCCCACCCTGTCCGCACAGGGGGATGCGGCGCGGCGAGACGGTGCTGCGGGTGCGGGGCGGGGGTCCGGGTCGCGGCGGAGGTCAGGCAACAGGATAGACGCCACTCTGAGGCAAGGAAGCCTCTCGCCGCCATCTTGAGTGTGGTCTCGGCTAAGCTGCTGTCCTGGCGGGGCCATCTTGAGTGTGGCCTTGGCGGACTTCCGGGCTGGGGCCGCCGTCTTGAGTGTGGTCTCGGCTAAGTTCCGGTCCTGGTGACGCCATCTTTACTGTGGGCTCGGCGGACTTCCGGGCCGGGCCCGCCATCTTTGTGTACGGCCTTGGAGGACTTCCGGTACTGGCGGCGCCATCTTCCTTTCGGGGTGCCCTCGCAGCGCTTCCGGTCCGGGAGGGCGCCATCTTTGGTGGTGAGCCGTCGAAAACAGTCCGGTCGCTCTCTACTTCCGGTGACCGAGTTTACCCAAATTAGCGTCTCTCGCTAATTTCTGCGCTTTCACCCCTAAAAGTCTTCATGTTAGTCCCCCCCCACACACACCCCGGGAGAGATGGGAGACCGCAAGTCCCGCCGTGCCGCCGGAACCGGCCCTTACCTTGGGCAGGGAGCGCGGCACCGGCACGAGAGCCATTGCGCATGCGTCACCGGTCCCGCTCCTGGCCGCCCTTAGTTACCACGTGATCGCCGGCGTCTTGCCAACGACTGCGCATACGACGGCGCCGCCACCTTGGCTTCCCCCCCCAACTCGACCAGCCGGCTTCGCTTTCTTACTGCGGCTCCCCCTCCACTTTTTCGGCTCCCTGGGGTTCCCCCCCGCCACATTTTGGGGTCCCTTTCTCACATTTTAGGGGTGATGACCCCGCCATTTACGGTTCGGAGGGGGGGGGTGGAGGAGAGGAAACGGGGTGCCCAAGAAGGGGTTTCTTTTTTTTTTTTTTTTTGGGTTTTTTTTCATTTTTAGTTTATTTCCTTTTTAGCTTTTTTGCTTTTAAATTTTTTTTATTTTCTTTTGTATTTTATATTTCCTTTTTTATTTCGTTTATTTTTTATTCTCTTTATTTTTCATTTTCTCTCCCAGTGCTCCCCAGTAACACCCAGTGCTCTCCAGTGCTCCCCAACAACCTCCAGCGCTCCCCAACAACCCCCAGTAACACCCAGTGCTCCCCAAAAATTGACCCAAAACTGACCCCAAAAGCTGACCCAAATCATCCCAAAAGCTGACCCAAAACTGACCCAAATCACCCCAAAAAACTGACCCCAAAAACTGACCCAAATCATCCCAAAAAACAACCCAAAACTCTGCATTTATTTGGCCTCATTTCCTCTCAAAAACAACATCTCCAATTTAGTTGATTGCTAAAGCCATCATTTTAAAATCATCCCAGGAATCAAAAGGGACTGGAAAACACACA